TTTCCTGAAACCACACTGCGCCTTCGAGAAGACATTGTTGCTTTCTAAAAACCAAGACAACCGTGTCTGAACCATCCGCTCCAGGAGTTTGCACATAGAGGAGGTCAGCGCAATTGGACGGTAGTCAGATGGATTCCTCCCATTCTTGTCAGGTTTCAGCAACGGAACTATGAGCGACTCCCGCCAAGAGGTGGGGAATTCTCCTGCCTCCCACAACTGGTTGAATGCCAGCAACATAGTTTGTGTTGCTGTTGGTGGAAGTCGCCGGAGCATATCATTATGAATTAAATCCGGGCCTTCCGCCACGCTGCGCAGATAGCTAATGGCAGACATCAGTTCAAACATTCTGAAAGGTTTGTGATATGAAAATTCTTCGGCTGTATGAAAGTTTATCTGGGCTGCTTCGTAACGAGCACGATGGCGTATGAAATCAGGGACGGCAGTTGCCCGGCCACAACGCTCCGCGAACACACGAGCCATTTCGTTCGCCACCTTAGAGGGGCCCAGTATGTCCTGGCCATTCATATGAAGTACGGGGTGCGGCACTGAGGAGTGTTGGCCTGCTAAACGCTTCATCCGCGCCCAAACCACCGAAGTCGGCGTTTGGCCATTTAGCTGGCCCACATATAAACGCCAAGACGTACGCTTGGCTTCCAAGATAGTGCGTCGGGCTGCCGCCCGAGCTCGTCGAAAAGCGATTAAGTTGTCCGTAGTGCTGTGTCGATCGAAGTCTCGCAGGGCTTTTTTACGCGCACGTATAGCGTCGCGGCACTGGTCCGTCCACCACGGAACAGGGGGACGACGTGGGACACCAGATGTACGTGGAATGCTTTCTTGTGCCGATCGTAAGATTGTGGAGGTGAGTTCTTCTATCGATGCAGGCACATCCGCAGAAACGGAAGCCAACCTGGTTTCCACCCGTGCCTGAAATTCATCCCAGTCAGCCCTTCTAAGATTCCACCGTTGTGGCCTGGAACCGAGAGCTGCTCCGTTCTGGTAGCGCAACCAGATGGGGTAATGATCATTGCCGAAGGAGTCGTTGTCAACGGACCATGTCAGGTGTACCGCCAGTTGGGGGCTTGAAAAACTCAAGTCCAGCGCCGATGTCTGACCTGACGGCAGCGTCATGTGAGTTCGGGTCCCGGCGTTTAAAAGACAGAGAGATTCATCACGTAAAAAAGTTTCGCAATGCCTGCCGCGAGTGTTGGCCTGGGCGCAACCCCAAGATGTGTGGTGAGCATTAAAGTCACCCAGCAATAGAAGAGGCGGGGGAAGCTCGGTCACCAGAAATCTCGTTTCTGCCGTCGGAAATGGAATACCAGGAGGTAAGTACAGCGAGCAGACGGTTATTGCACGACGCCCAAAAAGTATCTTAGCTGCAACAGCTTGCAGGTCAGAGTGTAAGACGACGCGCTGGACAAAGACACTGTGGTGCACAGCCAAAAGAACTCCGCCATGTGCAGTTGGATCAGCTGGCGTATCCCGACGCATTACGGTGTAGCTCGGGATAGTAAAATGAGAGCCAGGTGCCAGTTTGGTCTCCTGCAGGCAGGCGATGGCGGGACAGCGCTCATTCAGAATGACTCTGAGATCGTGTAGACTAGTTCTCACGCCCCTGCAGTTTCACTGCAAGATACTTGTCATAAAGCTAAGAAGTGAGGATAGCCATTACACACCTAGCTCACCAGCACAGCGCGCAGAATATCACAGTCAATAAGCCTGCAAGGGGGCGCACTAAAAAGGGGACAAAGTCACTCATTAAGACGCGACACGGTTCAAAAGAACTGGGCTGCGCCCGTTGCAGGACCGGACACCTCGGTCTGGGAGGTACGGCTCGATTCCGCAGAGTGGTGCCCCACTCTGGGCCGAATCCTTGGGCTTCCTCTGTCGGATGGAGACGGAGGACCGGCTGGGGGGCGCTTTGTGCCAGCGTGCCCAATCCTGAATGGTGGAGGGGGAGGACCCATGGATGGGGCCCTGCCAGACATCTGAGGACCAGCAGGAGGCTCAACTGGTTTTCTGGGCGATGGAGCACCGCTGCGAGGGACGGACTCCTTGCCCGCCCCAGACATGCGGTTCGCCGCCTTCGCCCGTTCTTGTTCGGCCAGGCCTGCCCGCTTGGCATCGCGGGCGCGCCTGTCCGCTTCGTGCCGCCCCAACGTTTCTATCGCCAGCCCGCATGCGTTCGCTAGTGGTGTCGGAGCTGACGAAGGCAGCGGAGCATGCGAAGCGGGGGCGAACGAGGGTGGCGAGGGAACCGATGCGGAGGCCGGTGGAGCCCGCGGGCCACGGCCACGCCGGACCACCGTCCAAGCCTCCTCTCCGGCAGGAGACGGCGGTGCCGGGGGAGTCGGCAACACGGAGGGTGCCGACCGGCCAGACGCCGGGGATGGAGCAGGGGGCTTAGCCCGGACGCCAACATCCGCCACAGAGTCGTCGGCCGGCGAGAAGGACGTCCGGACTGCTGGCTGGGAGTCCGGTGTGCGCGCTGATGGTACAACAGTGAGACCAAAAGATATCAAGAGTCCCACGAACTGAATGACAGTCATCAGCTCGATGACGTTGTTGTGCGGCAAAGCAGTCTTCACTTTCGATGCATACGAGAACTTCGGATGACTCGCGTCATACAGGTCTCTGACCTCTCGGAAAGATATGTTTTTGGATGCTTTTAGCGAAAGTACCTCCTTTTCTCTAACGAACGCTGGACACAGAGTCTTCCTTCAGCACGCCAATGCTTACAATAGACAGGTAAGAAAGGTAAAGGCGAACACGGCCTACCGCGCCTGGTGTTAAGTTGAACACCAGTGACGTCACATCGTCAGATGATGCTTGATGTCCTTCAATCAGCCCGACTAAACCCGTGTAAACTCATGACCAGTTGCATCACACGCTCAGGTGATTAGGCGGAGCCTTTATGTGGCGCGCGAATACTTGCAGTAGGTAGGTGCGAAAGGTAAAGATGAAACAGGGCCTATTGCACCTGATGCTTAATTGAATACCAGTGACGTCATATCGCTATTTGATGTCTAATGGCCTTAGGTCGGCCCAAAAAGGCCCGTAAAAACTTATGACCAGTGATGTCACACATTCTGCGGATTACCAGTGACAACATACCGTTAGCTGATGCCTTTCGGCTTTCACTCAGTCAAAAATAGCCTGTAAAAACTCATGACCACACACTCAGGTGATACGGCAGAGCCATCATTCAGCTCATTAATTGTTTAACAGGCGCGAAAGACAACGATGGAATATGACCTGGTGGGCCTAATGTTAAGTAGAACACCAGTGACGTCATATCGTCAGCTGATGCATTATACCATATAGCGGGTTGAAAAAGCCCATAACAACTCTTAACTAGTGACGTTACACACTCAGGAGATTCGACAGAATCTTCATTCAGCACGCCAATGCTTGTAAAAGACAAGTACGAAAGGTAAAGATGTTACGTGGAACGTTGCGCTTGATGTTGAGTGGAGTACCAGTGACGTCATATCATCCCGCGATGCTTCACAGGATGCGATGCTTTTTCACATTGGGGGGCCGAAGTGCACCTGTATAAACTCATGACCGGTGACGTCACACACTCAGGTGGTTCAGCATCGCCTTGATATAGCACGCGAATGCTTGCAGTAGACAGGCACGAAAGCTAAAGATAGAACATGGCCTGCTAGGCATGATATCTAGTCGAAAACCGGTGACGTCATATGGACGGCTGATGAGGTACGGCCTATAGTGGGTTCAAAACAGTCTATAAAAAATCATGGTCAGTGACGTTGCACACTGAGGTGCTTCGGCAGAGCCTTACTTCAGCATGCCAATCCTTGCGATGGACTGGTACCAAAGGTAAAGGTGGAGCATGGCCTGTCGCGCCTGAAGTTTATCCGAACACCAGTGACGTCACATCGTCAGTTAATGCCGTATGACCTTTCGTCGGCCAAAAAGAGGCCGTCAAATCTCATGACCAATGACATCACATACAGTCGAATGCCAGTGACGTCACATCGTTAGCTTTGCTTCATGGCCTTCAGTTCGCCCCAAGAAATCCATAAAAACTCATGACCAGTGACGTCACACATACACAGGTCATTTGGCAGAGCCTCCCCTCAGCACGCCAATACTTGCAGCAGACAGGTACGAAAGGTATAGATGAAGCATGGCCTGCTGCCTGATGTTCAACCAAATATCCGTGACGTCATATCGTCAGCTGATGCCTTACGGCATTCGGCCGGTCCAAAAGAGCATGTGAAAACCCACGACCATTGACGTCACACAATCAGTCGTATAGCAGTGACGTCCTTAGCTGATACCATGTGGTCTTCAATGGGCCCAAACACACCGGTGAAACTCATGACCAGTGACGTCACACACTCAGGCGATTTGATAGCTTTTATTCAGCACGTCAATGCTTGCAGTAGAGAGGTACGAAGGTAAAATTGAAGCATAGCCTGCTGCGACCAATATTTAGCCGAATATCAGTGACGTCACGCTATCCGATGATACTTCACGGAACATGATACACCGTGGCCTTGGGGCCTAAGTGCATTCGTATCAAGTGATACTTAGTGACATCACACATTGAGGTGATTCGGTCAAACCTTCATTCGGCACAAAAAATGCTTGCAACAGACAGGTACGAAAGGTAAAGATGGAATGAGGCCTGTTGCGCCTGACGTTTAATCAAATACCAGTGACGGCATATCGTCAGGTGATGCCCTACGGCATTCATTTGACCCGAAAGAGCCCTAAAACCTTACGACCAGTGACGTCATATACCCAGTCGAATACCAGTGACATCATATCGCCAGCGAATGCTTTATGGCCTTCAGTCGGCCCAAAAGAACCCCGATCGATGCAAAACCATTTTCGGTGACGTCACAACGTCGGCTGACGCCTCACAGCATTTCCCCAGTACGACAGTACATGAACCCTGCGGCTAGCGTAGCTCTTCCCTCTGTCGGCCGTACAGGTACCGAAGTAAAAAAAGCTCGTCTGTCGTTAGTTTTAATGCAGAGCATGTCGTACTTATTCCTAAAACAGGTTATCTAAACTCTTACCTTGGAACTTAAACATAGACGATAGCGAACATCCGAGCGCCGCAAACACGCAGCTACCGCGACCCCGGCGCCGTTGCTACGCGTGATCATAACATTACTGTGCGTCAATAACCATTACAATGTACCGGGCCAATGTAACAAAAATCCAATGAAATACGTTTCTTGTGTATCCAATCATTATTCCGCACTGTTCATGGATTGGTCGACATCGTAGGCAAATGTGATGTCTTTGGGTGGGAAATTAAAAGCAAAATGAGAATGTGGCGGCTAAACAAAACTTCTTAATATGGTGCGTATATATGGCATGGAACATGGATGCCAATGGGACACTGGGTTGAAGGGGATAGGGTGGGGTGTTAGGTTAGGTGAGTTGAGGTGAGGTGAGGTGGGGTGAAGTGAGGTTCAGTTCAGTTAGGTTAGGCTAGCTTAGTCCATGTTCTGGATGATTCTGCCCTGTGTTTCATAAATGTACCTACACGTGATATGAAACATTTCATTACATTATTGTTATTACCTTGCCCCCCTACACTTTTTATGGTTCTTCTTAGCAGAAATAATGTAACCACAATGCAGAAGCTGTGCTGGGGAGTTGAGGCGGTGGAGTGTGTGTGGCAGTTGGGAGCTTGCCAGTAGTTATTAAAATTTGAAGGTAGAAACATGAATCTGCCTGTTTTATGATTATTTACAATATGTTCCACCTTAAACACAACAAATGATGTCCAATGTTTTTCTAACATTAGGTACCAATGTATACCTACACTGATAGCCAGGTATCTATGCATCCAGATAAGCAGATTTGTTGTGTTCAAGATGCATATGAATGTATTACACCCAGTATGTGCCACTCAACAATTACTTTGAGGAAAAACTTGGTATGGTGGTATTTCTAGTTTTAGACAACAAGCTAAAAATGATCTGAAATGATAGTTTAAACTTTAAAAACAATGGAGTGCATTTGGTACACTGATTTTTAGCATTCCTGTGTGCATTTCTGATGCTGATTTGACATCCAGGCCAAGTGTACTCAATTGCAAGGCTGTGTATATAGGTGTACAGAAGAGATAGTATACATGCCTGAGTTCTGGAGGCTATGTGGCATATCCCAAAGTAACACATGTATGTTATCAGTTCTCCACACAAGGTTCCAGAAAGGTAAAACACTTTATGTTTTCAATAAAACTTATTTGTATGTGCCATAATTGTGCAGGGTCCATTTTCCAGGATGGAGTTGGAGCCCCATCAGTTTACATGGCTGCTTGTGCTTATCTCCAGTTGCACAAGTCAGCCACAGAGCACTCCAAGTGAGAAGACTATACTTATAAAGAATGCAGATGTTGGAGAGCCAGGGCCTGTTAATACAAGTTTAGCTTTATTGAAAGCTGTGTCCATGAGACCAACAGATCCAGGACAAGTGATCCATGGTGTGTCAGGGGCAGGAGTGCAGTCAGACAGTGTTAGTAACATACAGGCTCAGCCAGGAACACATCATGAGGGTGGCAGTGCAGTCACTCTGCCTGAGATGATGCCAGAGCTTCAAGTGCCTTTGAGGATTGATCTTGCATCTGTGCCAAAAAATGATATTCCTGAATCTCCTATGACACTTAATTTGAAGTCAGACCATCCTACACCTCTGAAGTTCACTCCTCAGCCTGTCATGGGAAATGCTTCTGAATCTTACACTGCACAGACAAGTGCCCCCAAATTTCCTGCATCCCCAGCAGCCCCCACAAAGACTACTGCTGTGGGTGGAGAGGCGGCCGCGTGGTCAGCGGGCGGAGCCGGCGGCGAGCTACCGGTGCGCCTGGCCGGCCCAGACGCGACGCCGCCGGCGGGCCGCAGCCGTCACCGACCCGAGCCCGGTCTGGCGCCGTCCGAGGACAAGCCGAGCAGCCGGCGCACGGGCGTGCCCGACCTTGAAATGATCGAGAACCCCTCCAAGCCGCGCAAGGGCGTGCCGTCGGCTCCCGCGCCGGAGGTGGCTGTCAGGCCCCAGTCGGCCGCGCCACCGCCACCCGGCCCGGACGTATCGGAGGAGCCGGCCGCGGTCGCGGCCAGCCCGCCACACCAGCTGGCGTCGTACGCTGGGCCTGAGGAGCTGGCCGGCGAGACGGTACCTCTCACGAGCGCCGACCTGAGTAAGGCCCGCGTATCCACTCTGGTCGGCGTCGGCTTCATCGTCTGCTTCGTGCTCGTCATGGGCTGGCTCGTGTTCCGCAAGGCCAGTGACAGATGGCAGCACCGGCACTACAGGAAAATGGATTTCCTGGTTGATGGCATGTACAATCTATGAATGTCAAAGGACGCCGCATTCACCACGCACGCCACACGCACGCCGCGCTCACCGGGCGCCGGGAGAGTGCGTGCGTGCGTGCGTGCGGGTGGGTGGGTGGGTGGATGGATGGATGGATGAGTGCATGCACGCGCGCGGATGGGTCTATGGGAGGGAAACATTTGACATGCTATTTTTGTAAATTTCACAAACACACGGCTCGAATTTTGCTGAGGTGGTACCGCCACTGTGCATGACATAACTGTGATAACTATGGTGGTGCACGCTTCCCATGTTAGCGGCATGTCCAACCACTGAATAAAGCTACCGATGTTGTACGCGGCTGCGCTCACGCCCTGTGCTCAAGAGATCTATCGGAGCAGGGGAGCGCGTGGCCTGTGGCCATCATCACTTCCAAGTGATGGCTTGGCTTTTGGCGGTGTACGACCGGCCATCTATTCGTGTTAAGAAGTAGGACACGCGAGAAAATGAAAAAAATGAAATGTTTCAGTAAGCAGGCTTGAGTCTGCGGCTACCCGATTTGTATCAGGATATCCGTGGCATGAGCAGGGATGCCGCACACGCCGAGCTGTGTGTTGCGGGCCGGGACTGCGCGTGACGCGGCGAGGTGATCGCTATGTCACCTAAAGCTGTGCTGAAAGCGTGTCCATGTACATATGTGTGAGGTACGCGGTCCAAATGCACTCGCCGTTGCTCACGTCGCCGAATGCTGCTTTGTGTTCGCTTCATGTGCTTTCTTGCCAATGCTCACGGTACCATGTCTCAAGTGGTCGGAAATGCCTTTCAGATGTGTTTTGAGCGGAGCCAATATTGAAATGTTGTACCGCGATGCTCACATGCTTTGTACAGAGGCGTCGTTGCACACGTGCTAGTTCGACCCATGTCATGATTACCGTGAAGTGCCTTCCACCCGCACGGAGCCGGCCGTGCAGACACGTACGGCGGGCGCGGGTAGGCCACAGCGCGCGTCGCGTGCTGGAACCGCCGCCGCGCGGCTCCGGGGGCTCTGAGGCGTCCTCCACCGAAGGTGTGCTGCGTGTCCTCGGCTAGCGCCGACCCGGCGGTCCGGGTTCGTCATGTGCCGAGCTTTTTCCGAAGTTATTACCGATGTTTCCACCGTGTGGCTGTGCAAATACAAGGCTCAGACTTGTGTTCTGTGTGAGTGGTTACACCTGGTTGATTAGGAAAATGTCGACCTGACCAGATCGGGGGCTGAAGCTGATTTCAAGTTTTCATTCGAGATAGCCCTATTCGACCAAACCAAACCAGTTACCCACTGAACCCATCGCGTGCAAAGTCGATGTATTGCACAGGCCGGTGACCACTGAGACGCCTTGCATACGGGGGGGGGGGGGGGGGGGGGGGGGACGGGCGAGGCGAGTCAACCTGCCGTTCTGCGCCGAGAAGAAATAGCGCGACAACAGATGTGAGGGTTATCAAGTGTCATGGAGGTGGTACCAAAAACTAAGTTGATTGAGTGGGGCATTTTACCCCCACTAATGGACAAATATGTTGCAGTTTCATTTCCTAACAGGCAGACGCCCACTGATGTGGCATTCGCACACGAATCATCAACCATTTGAAGATTGGCTAGCCGTGCGTCGAGAAAGGCCGGGCGATCTAAAGTGGATGACTTAGCGATAGTTTACAATTTCGGCGATTCATGTGCAAAATATTGGGCAGCACGCAACATTTTGAGTGACTGCTTGACCAACTGAGCAGGCGCGCGCACCTGCATAGTTTGTAAGGCCGAACTCCGCGCAGCTCAGGCGCAGTGTCCTGCGTTCAGCGTCGGTCTCGTAAAACATGACGTGAGCCGTTTCGGGTTGATTCGGGCGCACCTGTGCGACGAGCGGCTCTGAGATACGCTGCTGAACTGCAGTCTGGCGCACCTGTGCGGTGAGCGGCTCTGAGATACGCTGCTGAACTGCAGTCCTGGCGCACCTGTGCGGTGAGCGGCCCTGAGATACGCTGCTGAACTGCAGTCTGGCGCACCTGTGCGGTGAGCGGCTCTGAGATACGCTCCTGAACTGCAGTCCGCATTCACCTACTCCGTGCAGTCAGCTTCAGGTCTCGTCTGCCCTGGTTGCTGGGATCGGACACTAGTTACCTCAAAGCTTGGAGATCCATGGTTTGTACACGGCGGCGCGTGGCTGAACACATCGACCCACAGTCCCGACAGTGCGGCCTTGTGCCTTCTCAGTCGGCTAGTCGTAGGCCACGGAAACTCCTGACCGCCGAGACCCGGACCGCAATTTGACCAGGGTCCTGATTTCTCGCCATTTGAAAAGATACGCTTTCCACGACTAATGCCATGCCAATTCATTCCATGCCAAATGTTAGAGGAAAAACTTACCGAATAGTTTGCGTGTGAATTCAACAGATTATACCCGCTGTACAACGTGACTTAAAGTTCGGCAAGCACTCAGCACGCTGATTTCTACGGCTTTCTCTGCGGACCATGGGCTCCGTTAAGCGCCTGGGCGCGTCAAATGGAAAGTGCTCCGGGCGCAGCCGTCGCACAACGCCCGACAGCGTGCCAAGTACCTGACCACCGATGATGGAGATGCAAGCCTGTCTGGTGAGTTATTCCCTCCAGCAGCATCCATCGCTAAACACGCAGTGCTGACCACCGTCCGTCCGACACCGTCTAAAGCTTCTGTTTGCTGCCGTACAGCGAGCAGCCTGAGATGAGCGGGCCGTCCGCCTCGATCCCCCCATCCACGGGTATAACCAAACACCAACACAAACGCAAGTATTCATTCTAGGATATCCCATAGGCTATGTGTATCAAAGGCAGTCACAGCTGGCCGGTGAATTATCGAAAGGATGAAGTGATCAGGTGCCATCGACAGCGGGGCGATAACGCCCACCAGTGTGTGCTAGCGCACGCAGTGCCCGACATGCCTGCCTCCAGTCGGGCAGCTGTCACGGCACACTACCTAAGGCAGCAAAGCAACAAGCATGGTCAATGCGGCGGCGTGCTCGGCAAACAAGCCCCCCCCCCCGCAAAAAACAACTCCGGAGGTGTCGCTAGAGTGGGTGCGGCCCGCGCTTGGGCCACCGGAACGACAGCGAAAATGTGACTTAAGCGTGTCACAACGGCGCAGTGGGAAAGGAAAAAGATAGCCGAGTCTCGTTTTAGGGGTCTTGGCGAGCCCCGTGAACACCAACTTCAAGGGCAAGATGGTACCAGGCTGGTCACCTCGGCACCACGCCCCAACCAACAAGCACAGCCAAATCACGATCACATGTGATTCACCAGGGCACCGGCGTACGAGCCCTCTTGTAGAGATCGCCAAACGGCGCGGCAGCCTCGCGGGCGCCATGGCGCCACGCCCCCCCGACACACGGTTCCGTCATCACAGTACTGTCGAGCACGATCAGAAGGCAGCAGGCGGCCGCCGGGCGTGGCGGCCGCCTGCTCTTCACGGCCTGACCGGCTGGCCGCGGCAGGCGAGAGCGCCGCTGACGCCGCCGCCGCAGGGCAGCGTCAGCCGCCTGGTCCCGTTCACAGCCGCCCGAAGAGCGCGGCCGGGCTACTCGAGGGGCGGGAAGTCCACCTCAGCTAGCAGTTGACGGCAGTTGGGACAGGTGGTGATGACGCCGCCGCTCTGCCAGCGCCTCAGGCACTGTGAGAGGTCAGCGGTCAGCACGAGACACGAGACCACGGCCAGCCGCGACGGAAAGCGCAGGTCACCGCGGCAGCCTCAGGCACCATGACATGTCAGAAGTCGGAGGAGGTCATCGGAGGAGATCGGAGGAGAGGAGGCGCATCGGAGGAGACGTGGCCTGAGGCCGGCTGCCGTTATCCGTGCACGTATTCTAGTTACCGGATGTGAAGCGCAACAGAGCGGCTTCCAAGCCGACCGGGGAAGCTGCGATTAGACGGCGCCAATCAGGTCCGACCTACCAACTCATGGAACTGATGGCCACACTGCAGTTGACGTGACTGGTTGGGCTGGCAGGGCTCGAGGCAGATGGTGCACACCTCTCTGGAGACGACGGTCTGGACGGCCGGTCCCGAGCCAGCCGCCACTCCTGGTGAGCCATTGGCTGTAACGAGCCGGAGCCGACTGTAGGCGCTGCACGAGGCGAGCGGCATGGCGACCGCTGTCACCCCCCCCCCCCCCCCCCCCCTCTGTCGTCGCCAGCCGCGCCGGGCGTCCAGAGAGAGACCAACAACCAATCTGAGACAGCAGCGCGCGCCGCCAAAGCCAGCCCCCTCCCCCCCCCCCCCCCGAAGACGTCACCATGAGTATCAGGGCGAAAAAGCGAGCATCAGCGCTAAATCGATCGCATCGCATTTTAACTGAGCGCCGCCAGGTCGCCCAAGGCAGCCCGGGACGTCAGGCGACCCGACATTGGCAACAGTGCGCCAGTCGTCAGACGAGCAGTGCCCGGCGGGCGGAACCAATTGACCTGTTCCAGCCACCAAAGCCGGGACGTGCAGTGTGGAAGGGGGGGGGGTCACTGGCCTACACCAGTCACAAGTGCCTGTCGTTTGGAGGGGGGCACTGACCAGAGCCGGGACGGAGGGCCGGGCGGAAGGGCGGGCCACTGACCAGAGCCGGGACGGAGGGCCGGGCGGAAGGGCGGGCCACTGACCTTCGCCGCCCCGGATAAGCGCCGTCACCTCGCTGATGACCTGGACGCTGGGCACGCCGCGCAGCGTGCCGCCCCGCCGGCTGCGGTAAGCAGACAGCTGATGCAGCACAGTGTCCCGGCCGGTCGACGGGCCGCACCGACCCATTATCTCATCCACCATCTTGTTGAATGGCGTGGGCGCCGGCTGCGGCGGAGAGCTGTGCTCAGGCAGTGCCGGATCACGGCCGCCGCGGCACAGCTGAGCACCGACGCACGCGCGGCGAGGGAGCCTGGCGGGAGGACGCCGCCCACTGGCCGCCGCCACCAGGCTGCCTTCGGATGTGGGCATAAACCAAGGGGCGGGAACGGCCGCTCAGGCGCGCGGAGGGCTACCGACGGTCAATACAGAGGGGAGCGACCTCGTGCCGAACCTGTGCACCCGCCAGCGCGTTACGCAGTCCTCGCTTTTCATCGCCCCTCGGGCTCAGGTCGCGGGTCTCTCGCTCGACGGCAGAGCTAGCGTCGCCGAGCGGCCGTGCCCTGACGACAGGGCGCCGACCGCGGACCCACCCCCTAGCCCCGGTGGGTGCCTGACCTCGCGCGAGGCGGCTCCTGAGGCGGCCGACAGCTGCAGGGCGGCCGGCGTCAGGCTGCGGCCGGGGCTCTGGTGGCGCGCCGGCACGCGGCCCGGCGGCGGCGACGCCGTCGTCCGACCGTTGTCGCTGCCGCTGCCGCTCGACACCTGGCCACAGACGGACACACGCGCTACAGTTACTGCGGTCGGGGGCGCGACAGCCCCCGGTCACAGGCGGCACCGCACGGCCGAGCAGCTCGCAAACGCTCACCTCCACCACCGCACAAACTCGCTCAAACAAGCGTGCTGTGTTACCGTTACGTGCACAAGGCAGCGGTGCGTATCCCCCGGCGGTTACGTGTGGTCGCGTGTTCGGCTGTGTGGGTTTTGAAGCGCTCCTTGGGCGTTGTGCGCCGGCACCGAGCGGAGCCCTGAACGGTGTGTGGCGGCCGGCGCGGCCCGACTCACCGTCAGCACAGGGCTGGGCTGGCTGGGACGCTGCGGAGCGGCGGCGGCCGGCGCGGCCCGACTCACCGTCAGCACAGGGCTGGGCTGGCTGGGACGCTGCGGAGCGGCGGCGGCCGGCGCGGCCCGACTCACCGTCAGCACAGGGCTGGGCTGGCTGGGACGCTGCGGAGCGGCGGCGGCCGGCGCGGCCCGACTCACCGTCAGCACAGGGCTGGGCTGGCTGGGACGCTGCGGAGCGGCGGCGGCCGGCGCGGCCCGACTCACCGTCAGCACAGGGCTGGGCTGGCTGGGACGCTGCGGAGCGGCGGCGGCCGGCGCGGCCCGACTCACCGTCGGCACAGGGCTGGGCTGGCTGGGACGCTGCGGAGCGGCGGCGGCCGGCGCGGCCCGACTCACCGTCAGCACAGGGCTGGGCTGGCTGGGACGCTGCGGAGCGGCGGCGGCCGGCGCGGCCCGACTCACCGTCAGCACAGGGCTGGGCTGGCTGGGACGCTGCGGAGCGGCGGCGGCCGGCGCGGCGCCCGCTGGGGACCGACACCACGGTCAGAGGCGAAAGGACCGTTCGGTCGGTCTGGCGCGGCCGGTCACGGCAATACCGTCACTGGCACCAGACACCGGCACAAGGGCCCAACCAACGACATTGCTCCAGACCCGGCGGTGACAAGACGGCATTGGTGATTGCCCTCAAAATATGCCGTTTGGGTCGGCAGACACGTTTCTTTCGGATGTTTCCGGGAATAACAGTAGTACTGCGCCAATGGGGTTAAGGAGCTGCAAGTGCAGCTTGTCAGCCACCCGACCTGGCCTCGCCTCTTACAGCAAGGCATCATGGGAGACATACCACACTCAGAATATACACCAGCTGTGGCTGCTGCGTCACGAGTACTCACCTCCCGTCAGGCTGGCGATGACTTTATCTGCTTCTGAAACGTCCGGCAGCTTCAGGGAACCTAGCGCAAAGTTTTCTTTTGAACTAATTGCCTTACACGCCTTGTTGATGGTTTCCTGAAACACAGAATGCTCATAACGACACATATTGAGCATGCATGTGGGGCGTCGATCGAGCACTGTGCCGTTATTTATTGCAAATACCGCTCATGAATCGTCCCTGAACGGACGCCATGACGTAAAGCAAACCACGATAATTTTGTATCACACCTGGCCGTCGCTGGGGGAAGCCCCATATGTCAGCACTCAATCAGCGACGACTAATACAGTGCCGGATGATCTGCACCTTAACCACGTTGTAGCAGCCCGACCAGCCACTCTGCAGCACAGTGACTGCTACCGCCACTCACAGACCTGTTCGTCACTCCGTGATTCAGCACAACCAGCACACCATATCGCGTGGGAGTGGAGCTCTGGCCTCACAAACAGGCGACGGCAACGGCGCAGTGCACGATTGTTGGTGACTCCCGTCTCACGGCAACCACCACAGGCGCTTCAAAACACCTGCGTCTACCCATGTCGCCTCAGAGCGAACTAACGGCACGCTGTCATCCCAGCGCGGTGAGGTAGGCTCAGGGCGCGGCTGCCTGACCTTAAACTGGACGCGCGTCCGCTCCAGGCTGATGATGGCCGTCTCCAGGCGCTGAACGTCGGCGAGCGCCGCGTCCGGCCGGCCACGCGCCTCGGCCACGCGCCGCGCGCTACTGGCCGCCTCCCGGCACCGCCTGTGACCGCGGCCCGTCAGTCATGCCGGCACTGTCGGCGCTGTGGCCGCCCGCACCGCACCGGGGCGACGCAGCACAACTCCTCTCCGAGCAGGGTGTGGAAGCAGAACACGACTACACGATACTTCACCAGCAGCACGTAAATGCTGCCACACTGTTGATTTCAAGGAATTGGGCCATTACGCCACGGGGCAACGGGACGGAACGGGTACGACAAAACGGATTGGGTCTGGTTGGAAACGGACGTGATGGAACCGGACTTATGGGGAAGACAAGACAGGACCGGACAGATGGAGAAAACAGGACGGGGCTGGACAGATGGAGAGGACATGACGGACACGGATAGGTGGGGAGTACAGGGCGGGGCCGGCCAAATAGGGAGGACAGGGCGGGACCGGCTAAATGGGGACAACCGGACGGCATGTGGTAGGACAGGAATTGAAGACGAACTTGTGCTCTACTCCAACGGAATCGAATCTGATAACGGAATTGAGTCCGTTTTGGTCGCAACGGGACTCTGATTCAGCTCAAACGGCTACTAAGCTGATTCAAATTTGGAACTGATTCACGTAGTTAATGGTAAAATCGGAATTAATTTGATTCCGCTTCGAAGCATCTGACTTACGAAATGATTCAACCACGATTTCTGTGGCATTCACTTGGTTGACTCGACGATGCACACCATGGGTCACACAGTTATTACGCCATAACATTAAAAGTAAAATACAAATTGATCGAGTATTTGTCAAGCTGCTGGGGACAGCTTTGGATGGATGTTGGGATTACCGGATGCTGAGAGATTGAAGGTGTAAAGAAGCAGACTACAAGAATCAGGTTGACAACGGCCAGGGCGAGCCGCGCCGTGTGATGTGATGCGGTGCGGTGCCGTGCCGTGTGATGTGATGCGGTGCGGTGCCGCGCCGTGTGATGTGATGCGGTGCGGTGCCGTGTGATGTGATGCGGTGCGGTGCCGCGCCGTGTGATGTGATGCGGTGCGGTGCCGTGCCGTGTGATGTGATGCGGTGCGGTGCCGCGCCGTGTGATGTGATGCGGTGCGGTGCGGTGCCGTGTGATGTGATGCGGTGCGGTGCCGTGCCGTGTGATGCGATGCGGTGCGGTGCGGTGCCGTGTGATGCGATGCGGTGTCGTGCCGTGCCGTGTGATGTGATGCGGTGCCGTGCCGTGCCGTGCGATGTGATGCGGTGCGGTGCCGTGCCGTGTGATGTGATGCGGTGCGGTGCGGTGCCGTGCCGTGTGATGTGATGCGGTGCCGTGCCGTGCCGTGTGATGTGATGCGGTGCCGTGCCGTGCCGTGCCGTGTGATGTGATGCGGTGCGGTGCCGTGCCGTGCCGTGTGATGCGATGCGGTGCGGTGCCGTGCCGTGTGATGTGATGCGGTGCCGTGCCGTGCCGTGTGATGCGATGCGGTGCCGTGCGATGTGATGCCGCGGTGCCGTGCAGTGCCGTGTGATGTGATGTGATGTGATGTGATGCCGTACGGTACGGTGCGGTGCGGTGCGGTGCGGTGCGGTGCGGTGCGGTGCGGTGCTGTGCCGCGCCGTGTGATGTGATGCGGTGCCGTGTGGTGCCGTGCCGTGCCGTGCGGTGTGATGCCGCGGCGCCGTGTGATGTGATGTGATGTGATGCGGTGCGGTGCGGTGCGGTGCAGTACCGTGCGATGTGATGCGGTGCCGTGCCGTGCCGTGCGGTGAGGCGCCGTGCAATGTGATGCCGCGGCGCGGTGCGGTGCCGTGCGTTGCGCTGCGTTGCGTTGCATCGCGGTGCGGCGTGGTGTGGTGCGGTGCTGTGCTGTGCTGTGCTGTGCTGTGCTGTGTTGTGTTGTGCTGTGTTGTGCGGTGCGGTGCGGTGCGGTGCGGTGCGGTGCGGTGCGGTGCGGTGCGGTGCGGTGCGGTGCGGTGCGGTGCCGTGCCGTGCCGTGTGATACCGCGGTACCGTGCCGCGCCGTGTGATGTGATACCGCGGTGCCGTGCCGTGCCGTGCCGTGCCGTGCGATGCCGCGGTACCGTGCCGCGCCGTGTGATGTGATACCGCGGTGCCGTGCCGTGCCGTGCGATGCCGCGGTACCGTGCCGCGCTGTGTGATGTGATACCGCGGTGCGGTGCGGTGCCGTGCCGTGCCGTGCGATGCCGCGGTACCGTGCCGCGCTGTGTGATGTGATACCGCGGTGCCGTGTCGCGCCGCGTCACGTCCAGTTATGTCGGGACGGTGGGAGGCCCATGTCGGTCGTAACACCCCGTCCCCGAGGACGGGGGGGGGGGGGGGGGGGGGGGAGGGGAAGGACGGCGGCACAGCTGACCTGATGGTGCTGTCCAGCCGCTCATTGCCGGCCTTGCTGAATACGTTGACGTGGCCAACGCGCGCCTTGCGTCCTTCGGCCAGCGCCGTCTCAACCTGGTGACGCGCGCACACGGTCGTCAAATAGGTAGTGATGCAATACTGGGCAATACAATATTGTAAAGCAGCATTTCTCAGCCAACTACGACTCAAAGGTGCTCATAAGTCGACAGCAGATATTCTAAGCACCTGATGTCTGCATCTCTTTTGGCTGAAGTAACACACCCACAACTCAGGAAAAATCACGTTTAAGACTTGGCTGAGAACAGATTCTGCGCAGTGCTTTTTTGTTTGCATTACATCGTTTTGCTAACACGGCACGTGGTCTGTCGATCACATTGCAAAAATCGTGCTAGACAAAAACCAACTCTTGATTTTAATGCCGACTTTGAGACTAGGCACAGAAGCAGTCGCCGACAGCGACGCCCTGCCCACCTGTTTCGACAACTCATCCAGCTGCTGCTCCTGCACGGCCACGTGCTGCCTGGTGTCCAGCAGCTGCTGCTGCGTATCCGCCAGCTGCTGCGCGCAGATGTCGAGCCGCTGCTGCCGCTCGGACAGCAGCCGCCGCCCGTCCGACAGCTGCCGCTGGCAGTCGGCCAGATGCTGTTGCGTCTCGGCCAGCTGCCGCCGCGCCTGCTCGCCCTGCTCCTCGGTCGCCTTCAGCTGCTGCCGTGCCTCGGCCGCCCGGCCCTGCCACTCGGCCAGCAGTTGCTTGGTCTCGATCAGCTGCTGCTGCTGCGTCTCTGGCGGCAGGACACCGGCCCCGGCGGCGCCGCGCTGGCCCACGCGCGTCAGTTGGCGTACGGTGCGCTCCAGGCGTAGCTGAGAGATCCTGGCCTCGGCCAGCTCATCGGTGCGCGCCGCCTGAGGACAGCCGTCGGGACGGGTCAGAGCGGGTCCGTCCGAACCGGCGAGACACGGCGGGCGGAGACCGCACCGTAAATACGCTCCCCTAATACACGGCAGTACATGCGGCAATCAGTCGAACGGCGCTCGGAACACACTCAACGACAGCGACAGTGGGCTGGCCAGTAGACGTGACGGCACCGTGACAGCGGGGGAGTGGCGGTGCTGACCTTCTCAGTCGTGAGAGCTTCCACCTGTTGGCGTAGCAGCTGGATCTCCTCGGCCGGTCCCGGTGTCATCGGCTCCGTCCGGCTCAGCGGGCCCTGAGGCAGTCAAACGCGCCGCCTCAACACACCGCCGACGCCGGCCACAGCTGCAGTCCCTCCCCGCCCGACATTCCAATCGTGAATGTGACGAAATGCAATAGGGGGAGGGGAGGGGTGGGCAATAATGACGCCGTGCCGATAACGCGCCACGAAATACTTGAACAGATATAGCTACACCAGCTACTCGTTTTCCAAGCAGTCACCTAGGTTCTTCCAGATGATGTTAGTATTCAACCTGTTCACATGAGCTTTCAACTAAACAGACCCGCACCACAGCGCAAAGCATTCGCACACACAGGCAAACGGACATGGATAGGCGGTCCGACAGACACAGGCAAACAGACAACCTGTAAGGTGGATGTGGATGGTTATCCACATATAACATGTCCACCTAACACATACATGTCCGCACTAATGCCACTCGGGAATCCAAGAACGAGCACAAGAAAAAAGCCAGCAACAAACGAGAGGGCATCCTGGCAGACCATGGAACACAAAGCAGAGGGCATGGCAGACTTGGTCCAGAGAGGCGAACAGCGGAAGAAGGCGCACAGCGTCCAATTACATGTACACAAGCAAACTCATCTAAAGGAGGTGTTCTCGTTACGCCACAACCGTACCGCCCGAGGCGGCGCCATCCTTACACTGACGGTCGCCAGTTGTATTTGGCCCCTTTCACGGCAAGAGTTTCAGGGAATGTTTCACATTTGAAGATACTGAAGCAAGCACCAAATACTTATAACTCATGGCATACGTTTAAGAAGAAAAGGCTGCTCTAAACAACCCATTTTTGTTTCGTGAATGCGTTCCTTGATCATCATTGTATGATTACGTCGTCGCACCCTGCACAACACTGAGAGCCAATTGACAGCCGCCTCATCTGGAAATCGTGCTCACGAACGCCAGATATGAACGACTCGACCATTATATTTTCTCGGTCTCGGTCCCGGCATGGCTGATGGAATGACAGGATTTCAACGTTATTTGACGTCATAAATGTCAAGGTGAGCTGACGATACTCCTCCCCTATTGTCGCGAGAGCTCAGAAACTAGAGGGATTCAGGTCTTAAGAAGCGCAGGGCCGTGAACTGCAACGAAAGGTCGCCAACTTGGCTGTTTCAATTCAGAAGCCCATACGAATGTGGAACACTCGCTTTCATATGTTGATTTGCTGTGCCCAAAAACATTACCAATAACATTTCACCGATGCAATCAGAAATAAAGATGACGAGAAAAACACCGGACTGTGCTAGCAATGCACAGATGAACAGCACACAGTCGCACGGGACAATGAATGAAAATTAATGGGATGAATAGGATGCAGACAGACGGACCGACATATGGGGGATGGAGGAAGGAACGAAGGGAGGGACAGAGGGACGGACGGAGAGACGGAGGGATGGAGGGAGGGAAGGACGAAGTGAAAGTAAGTGAGCGAGTGAGTGAGTGAGTGAATGGGTGAGTGGTTGAGTGAGTGGGTGGGTGAGTGAGTGAGTGAGTGAGTGGGTGAGTGAGTGAGTGAGTGAGTGAGTAAGTGAGTGAGTGAGTGAGTGAGTGAGTGAGTAGACACAAGGAGAGAGGGAGGGAGACAGAGAGAAAGAGGGAGGGAGGGAGCTAAGGAGGAAGACGGGAGAGAAGGGAGGGCCAGGCGCACCTCCAGATCGGTGACACTTGGCTCGGGGTCCCTGGTCCAGGCGCCGTCGCCGCGCGAGCCGTCGTCGCCGTCCCGGCGCGAGCCAATACTCCCGCTATCCGGCTCCACCGGCTGACCGGTGGTCGGAAGCGATGTGGCTTCTTGCTCCCCTACCGCGGCCGCCCGACCGTCAGCCTCGCAGTCGGTCCACTCCGGCTCCACCTGACCAGCTCTGTCAGCCTCACAGTCGGTCCACTCCGGCTCCACCTGGCCAGCTCTGTCAGACTCCAGCTGTTCGGATCCCTCTGGCTCCACCTGACCAGCTCTGTCAGACTCCAGCTGTTCGGATCCCTCTGGCTCCAGCTGACCAGCTCCATCAGACGTCAGCTGTTCGGATCCCTCTGGCTCCACCTGACCAGCTCCACCAGACTCCAACTGTTCGGATCTCTCTGGCTCCACCTGACCAGCTCTCTCAGACTCCAGTTGTTCGGATCCCTCTGGCTCCACCTGACCAGCTCCATCAGACTCCAGCTGTTCGGATCTCTCTGGCTCCGGCTGACCAGCTCCATCAGACTCCAGCTGTTCGGATCTCTCTGACTCCGGCTGACCAGCTCCCCCCGACTCAAGCTGTTCGGATCCCTCTGGCTCCAGCCGGCCAGCTCCATCTGACGTCGGCTGTTCGGATCCCTTTGGCTCCAGCTGACTAGCTAACGGCTCGTCAGGGTCAAGCTCCTCGGCCTCACCAGCCTCCTCCTCCTCCTCCTCCTCCTCCTCCTCTTCGTCCTGCCCCGTGTTCGGATCCAAGTCCAGCTCGGTGTCCGGATCGGTGAAGTCCTCGGCGTCGGCGAAGTCATCCGGGTCCAGCTCGGCCGTCTCGGCGTCCGAGAGCTCGTCTGGCGGCGGCGGCGGCCGCTCGGCGCCTTCCTCTCGTCCCGGCCCCGCCGCCGGACCGTCCGTCTCCTCCAGAGCGAACAGCTCGGAGATGGTGGAGCGGAGCATGGTCTCAGCCGAGGTCACGTCCACCTCTGTGCACAGCAGGCCGTCCAGCTGGTAGAAGCGCGGCAGCCTGACGGTACGGCAGCCACGTTTCAGAGTCGCGCCACCGAGGGGCCAACAAACGGACCGGAGGCTGAACGGCGCCCCACTCGGAGGGCGGCCTGGGAACCGGCCGCCTGCCGGTGTCCGAGTACAGACGCGGGCAACACACTGCTGATAGCGTCCCAATGTGGACCACCGGTGGCAGCCAGCACGCACGCACGCACGTAACGACGCACAGCCGCCCACGCACGCAGACGACCCCCCCCCCCCCCACGCATGCGCACGCGGAATCCGGGACCAGGGGAACAGGAGAATTCGGGAGCTATACACCTCGGACGGAGTAGTGCGGGGGACGGCCGCGTCTCGACTCGCTGCGCCGCACCGCCAAGTAGACTCGGCTTGACTCTGGACTCGAACTCACCGCAGCAGAAAGTTCTCGAGCGAGCCGTACTGGACGATCAGCTGCTGGCAGGTGCCTGACAGCTGACTGGTGGCCGCCAGCAGGTCCGAGTCGGTCAGAAGCGTCGGGCCGCGCTCATTCAGGTACTCGTACAGGTACCTGGAGCGGGGGCGGCGCCCGGTACAGAGGCGACACCGGCCGCGTGCTACAGACCACGCATGGCACGCCTGTACGGCACGAGCAGTGAGATGGCATCGGCAGACACAAGACGAGACGAGCGCGAGATTCAGCGGATCCAGACACCAGTCGCACCCACGCCCAGAAGAACCAGGGCGCAACTACACGCCAGATCAACGGCGAGCCACGGCGCCGCCAGCGGCCTTGAGGGGGCTGCATCCCGTCACAGGGTGCGCCCGGCCCCAGCCTTATCCACCCGCAGAGTGCGCCCGGCCTCAGCCTTATCCAGCCGCAGAGTGCGCCCGGCCCCAGCCTTATCCACCCGCAGAGTACGCCCGGCTCAGCCTTATCCAGCCGCAGAGCGCGCCCGGCCCCAGCCTTATCCAGCCGCAGAGTGCGCCCGGCCCCAGCCTTATCCACCCGCAGAGTACGCCCGGCCTCAGCCTTATCCACCCGCAGAGTACGCCCGGCCCCAGCCTTATCCAGCCGCAGAGTGCGCCCGGCCTCAGCCTTATCCAGCCGCAGAGTACGCCCGGCCTCAGCCTTATCCACCCGCAGAGTACGCCCGGCCCCAGCCTTATCCAGCCGCAGAGTGCGCCCGGCCTCAGCCTTATCCAGCCGCAGAGTGCGCCCGGCCTCAGCCTTATCCAGCCGCAGGGTGCGCCCGGCCTCAGTCTTATCCAGCCGCGGAGGGCGCCCGACCTCAGCCTTATCCAGCCGCGAAGAGCGCCCGACCCCAGCTTCATCCAGCCGCGGGGAGCGTCCAGCCTTATCCAGCCGCAGGGAGCGTCCGACCCCAGCCTTATCCACCCGCAGAGTACGCCCGGCCTCAGCCTTATCCAGCCGCAGAGCGCGCCCGGCCTCAGCCTTATCCAGCCGCAGAGTACGCCCGGCCCCAGCCTTATCCAGCCGCAGAGTGCGCCCGGCCCCAGCCTTATCCACCCGCAGAGTACGCCCGGCCTCAGCCTTATCCAGCCGCAGAGTACGCCCGGCCTCAGCCTTATCCAGCCGCAGAGCGCGCCCGGCCTCAGCCTTATCCAGCCGCAGAGTACGCCCGGCCCCAGCCTTATCCAGCCGCAGAGTGCGCCCGGCCTCAGCCTTATCCAGCCGCAGAGTACGCCCGGCCTCAGCCTTATCCAGCCGCAGAGTGCGCCCGGCCTCAGCCTTATCCAGCCGCAGGGTGCGCCCGGCCTCAGTCTTATCCAGCCGCGGAGAGCGCCCGACCTCAGCCTTATCCAGCCGCGAAGAGCGCCCGACCCCAGCCTCATCCAGCCGCGGGGAGCGTCCAGCCTTATCCAGCCGCAGGGAGCGTCCGACCCCAGCCTCATCCAGCCGCGGTGATCGCCCGATCCCAGCCTCATCCAGCCACGGGGAGCGCCCGACCCCAGCCTCATCCAGTCGCGGGGACCGTCCAGCTTTATCCAGCCGCAGGGAGCGACCAACCTCATCCAGCCGCGGGGATCGCCCGATCCCAGCCTCATCCAGCCGCGGGGAGCGCCCGACCCCAGCCTCATCCAGTCGCGGGGAGCGTCCAGCCTTATCCAGCCGCGGGGAGCGTCCAGCTTTATCCAGCAGCAGGGAGCGTCCAACCCCAGCCTCATCCAGCCGCCGGGAGCGCCCGAACCCAGCCTCATCCAGCCGCCGGGAGCGCCCAGCCTTATCCAGCTGCGGGGATCGCCCGACCCCAGCCTCATCCAGCCGCGGGAGCGCCCGACCCCAGCCTCATCCAGCCGCCGGGAGCCCGACCCCAGCCTTGCCGGTCGACACGCGACAGCTCTGGGCTGGCAGAGCGCTGCGGCCTGGCCGGCCGGCTGGGCGGGCGGGTCCGCTCAGATGGAGGGGCAGTGGCCAGTGGGCAGTGGGCGGTGGGCGGTGGGCGGTGGGCGGGAGCCGAATGCGTGGGAGGCACGTGCGCTTACTGGTAGGCGCTCTCCAGTATGGCGTGCTCCTCCTCACTGGTCTGCTCGTCTCGCGGTACCGACGCCGGCTGCACCGACTGCAAACAGAAACAGAAGAGTTCCCTGAGCCGACGGCGGCCGGAGGTCGGGACGGGTTACCATGTGGCGACCCACGCAATCCGTACACTGACCTCCGGAACGGTCGTGAAAATGCGCCTAGCGGAAGTATGCCACCCTTTTATACCTTGCACTTTTCGTTAGATGGGACGCATCGAATCTGGTCGGTAATACTAGCTTTCTCGAAATGCTTCTGAACTGCTCGGAATTTCGATTCGAAACAGCCGTTCCGACGAGAGAAATGCCTACCAAGACCCCCGACCACCACTATGCAAGTCGTATCTTCAATTTGCTATGCTTTTCCAACAAGTGTTATGAAATGTTTGAAAAGCACTTATTGGTCGAGATGTTTGTGCAATCCACGCTACAACTTGGAACACAGTATTTGAGGAAAAAGATGTACAATCATGAAGATATTATGACGCGAATTCAACGAAACATCACAGAATGACATTGATTTCTCCCCTATGCCGCTAAGCACAGTTACTCTTTTCGAAGCGCACTTTGGCTTGAAGAAACGGAGGTACGACATCGTCTATGGTGACGAACTGGAGTTGAACGAAGACACTTCTCGGTTAATGGCTTGCGCCGCCCTTTCCCAAATCACCAAAACAGATTTCCACTGACGTCATTTATGCCCGCATGGATCCAACTTGAAGCCCGCAGGCGCGCAACGTGCGGGGTGAGAGCTTAAATGGCGCATCTAGTCGCGTAACAGCCGACCACGGTCCGCGACAGACCTCTCCGTCGTCAGCTGTCGCGGTCAGGGGTCACACTATGAGCAAAGAAACATTGTAGTGGTGTGAACAAACAGTCGATTGGGTAATTTAGACTCATCAAGAGTTAAATTCGTTTGCCTATTATAGCCTGTTGATGCTGCAGTGCACTACCCAGTGCTGCCATTAGATGTAGCTGGTCCTGAGCTTGCACCAACGCGTGCTTTTGAGATATGCCGCAAAGATGGCACACTCCATGAAACGTTCTTCGTCACAACATATAACACCGATTAACTTTATAAAATAACGTCTGGTTGCTAGAAGTAACAATTTTTCATGTTCCGACGATTTCCATAAGTCGTTTTACCGATCACTTCCCCAGTTTGGCGACGGACACCTTGCGGCAGGACCGTTGTGACCTACCGAGTCCGGTATGAGGGCGCGCGTGCTGAACTGCAGCATACGCAGCTCCTCCAGTTGGCGCAGCCGTGCCGCCAGGCCGTCCCTGCGAGGGGGGGGGGGGGGCCGGGTCGGGTGTCACACCAGTATACACAATCAGATCCCCCAGCCTCATACACAGCTGACGTCGGATGGCGGGAACATGGACGTACCGACAAAACAAAACACTGGATCCTGCTGGATCTTTTAACAAAAAAATATGGATCCTGGTTGCCACTGGTCCTTTGAAAAAGTCACACCCTGGATCCTGGTTCCCTCTAGTTCGTTATCAAACCATGGCCTTGTTCCTGGCTATCATTGGTTCTTCTGAAAACACCGGTCATTGAGTACTGAGTGCCACCGATTCCTTATAAGAACAAGACCCTGACCCATGGTTCTGAGCCACAAAGTCATGCAAGTCCTACAGGATAGTCCTTTAGTCCACGTCCACATAGTCCAAGTACACATAGCTATGACCTTTCACACCTATTACAAGGTATACGCCAGAGGCAAGTCAAACAATCAGCACGTCCTGATATCACCAAAGCAAGTAACAAAGTTCAAGTGTCAGTTATATATCACTGCCTACAGCTTAGAAGCGAGCACCCGAAAGCTTAACCTAAAACACAGACATTGCACACTGCTCTCATATTTCATAAAAGTCGCACACCAAAGCCACGTAAAACAATCAGTATACCCTGATACCGTCACTGCAACTAGCAAAGTCTAGCTGCTAGTTAAAGACCCCTGTTAATAGCATACAAGTAAAAGTCTGACAGGTGAAACTATCACATCTGATCACTAACATATCTGCTTTCCCACCACATGGAAGTCACACACCAGAGACGAGTCAAACAGCATGTCCTCACTCACCATCACAACCAATAAAGCTTAACCATTAGTTGATCATTCCAGACTGAATCCTGGTTCTTGCTGGATTCCTTGACATAATGTCGGGCTGGATCTTTGTTCTTGATGGATCTTCCGACATAATGTCAGGCCGGAGCTTGGTTCCTGCTGGTTCTTTTTCTTGCTGGCGTGAAAATGGGTCTTTTGGCTTATTGTCAGTCCGGGCCTTTTTAGTTATTAACAGCCCGAATCTTAGTTCTTGTCGTATCTTTCGACTTCTTACGACTCGAGGTTGGATCCTGGTTCTTGTTGGATCTTTTGGCTTACTATGAGGCTAGATCCCTCAGCCTTATACCGGACTGGTCCCTGTTTTTCCTGGTTCCGGAACCAGGAAGGGAAGAAATCTTGGTAACCAGGCACATGCCTGATACACACTTCCGCATTCAGGCCCCTCCCCCGCCGCGTACGCAGGTGACGCAGGACGACATATCCCTAACCCCTGCACCGATCCGGGCGTGGACCACACAGAGATGCTGATGAGACGTCAGCGGCCCCACTCACCCGTCCGTGGTGTAGATGACGTTGTCTGGGGGGCCGTTGTACGGAGCCGAGTCTCCCGGCTGCTCCCAGAACATCTCAACCGCACGACGGCGACTGGAGGCGGCCCTCTTCTTCTTTCTGGATTTTTTTGACACCGGAGCCTGTCAGCAGGGGTAGCGACAGACCTGTCACTGGGCCAGTGACACACACTGCCCAAGCGATTCATCACGTGCGCGGCGGAAGCGTTATCGTGGTGATTTCTGCTACTAAAACTGAACCAGACTACAAACATGTGATGATGGTGCTGATTGGGGTTTTAGGGCGCGTCGACTTCTAGGGTCATTTTGCGCCACTAAAAACATGTAAAAGTCGGGCTACATGAAAGCCAGTTGTGACACCGGCAGCGACTGATGTCGCATGCGATGTGTGACGAGCGGTCGGCGTCGTGCCGTGCCGTGCCGTCGTTGGCGGCCGCTGTGAGCAGCGCGGCGGGTGCTCTGGTACGACCCGGCCCGCCGGCACCCGGCCGCACCTCGTCCAATGGGCTACCGCGCCGCAGCACCGTCATCTCGCGCAGGTGGGGCGCCGGCGCTGTCTCCTGCTCTGGACCCGGCTCTGGGCCCGGCTCTGGCTCCGGCTCCGCGGCGGTTGCGGCGGCGGCGGCAGCGGCGGCGGCCCCCGGCTCCGCCCCCTGCGCACGGGGAGCGGACGCGTCAGCAGGGCGACCGTCCCGCGCAGCCAGCACCGCCCGCCCGATCCGCTTCAGTCCAGATGGCAGGTATCAGCTGCAGCCCCACCACTGAACACAGCTCGAAATGAACACGTGCTCGGACAAACGCTCAATGGCCATTGCCGGTAGGCGATAGCTGATAAACGTGAACTTGCTAAGATTGTGGCACACTGAGCATTGTGTTGGGAGAAGTTGGCCATAAGGGCATCTGTCTTCATATTTGGTTCCCAGTGTTCAAGTCTAAGTAAACGTATATGTGACATGCTTAATTGCGCGCATAAGGGATCTAAATTGTAATGGATTTTGAGGCGCCAATCTTGAAATATACGCTGGCGCCGAACACATTCGTGTCCAGAGTTTGACAAATACTTATCATTTTCCATGCGTCTGGACAGATTAGACCACCCTTAACACAGCCGCGGCGCGGACACCAAAAAGTGACCAGGTTCTTACAGATCGTGATGAAGACATCCGATATTTTTGCGCACAATACGGGGCCGCTTCTCGAAGCGGCAGCTCTAGTCGAAACCTAGACATTACCACTAAGATATCGTCAGGCCTTTATCAACTAGGGATAGCCTCTGTGCACGTCTCGCCGTATACATCCCGTCCGAGTCTGGAGGACGGACAGCTCCATCAAGGAAATCAAACAAATACTGCGCCAGTCCGCCCGCTCAAGTCAAGCCTCATCTCGGCGCCCGGCCGAGCCTTCTCCAGTGATGGGCGCCAGTCAAGCCCACCTTTGCCTCGCCGCTCTCCTCGCGCTCGCGCACATTGTCCCTGTGCTTACGCGCCTTGGCACCCTGGTGCTTCTTCTGCGCCTGCTGTGCAGGTCGCTTCTGCTGCCTGCCATCCAGGACAAGGGGGTATCAGGTAACCCGGCCACAGGTTCCGCGGCACGGGAGCACGCAGACACCAGCCGGCGCCCCCAACACCAATATCTGTGTCGCAGAGCGAACAGACATGTACTATCATTTGTGCAAGGTTGCCCGTCGTGGGCCGGCATGTCGAAAAAGCCACACACAATCGCGGGGCAATCCGGAGGTCCTTTGTGTTGCGTTCCATCCCACTGTGCCGTTTACATCGAGAAACACTACATCAAGGCGCTGCTGGCGGTTCATCTCAGCCTCGGTGATGCGGTCTGCTATGTGCCGTGGGCCGCACAATGTCAAAATACGGGAACGGGCTGGAACATGCCTACACGTTCATTCGCGCTCCCGTGTGCTAAGCACGCAGGCGGAGACAGTTGGGACTCTCACTTGGCCGGCTGTCGTTGCATGAGACGCGGGTCCTGTCGCTGGCGGTATTCGTCGCTGACGATCTCGTGCTTCTCCAGCGCGTTGGCGCCGACCGTGACAATGCGGCAGATGGAGCCGTCACAGTCGGGCGTGGGACACGGCTTGTGCAGCAGATCCTGCCGCCGGGGAGCCCACCTCAGCACAGCACGAGCCAGCGCCACAGCCACAGCCAAGGCTGGGCCACGGCAGTCAGTCCGCATTGGACGGCAATTATTGCGCGCTTCGGGGCCCAGCCTGGCGACTGGCCAGGCCGTCATGGGGGTCGACCAAGCACGTGCCGCCACGTACGTGCGGCACGTGCACCTTACCTGCGATACTCGGAGCCAAGAGACCGGCCGGAGGGCACGGGCCACCACCCACCTTATCCGCGGTCCTCTGAGCCAAGACGCCGACCGGAGAGCACGGGCCATCACCCACTTTATTCGCGGTCCTCTGAGTCAGGAGGCCGACCGGAGAGCACGGGCCACCACCCACTTTATTCGCGGTCCTGTCAGGAGGCCGACCGGAGAGCACGGGCCACCACCCACTTTATTCGCGGTCCTCTGAGTCAGGAGGCCGACCGGAGAGCACGGGCCACCACCCACTTTATTCGCGGTCCCCTGAGTCAGGAGGCCGACCGGAGAGCACGGGCCACCACCCACTTTATTCGCGGTCCTCTGAGTCAGGAGGCCGACCGGGGAGCACGGGCCACCACCCACTTTATTCGCGGTCCTCTGAGTCAGGAGGCCGACCGGAGAGCACGGGCCACCACCCACTTTATTCGCGGTCCTCTGAGTCAGGAGGCCGACCGGAGAGCACGGGCCACCACCCACCTTATCCGCGGTCCTCTGAGCCAAGACGCCGACCGGAGAGCACGGGCCACCACCCACTTTATTCGCGGTCCTCTGAGTCAGGAGGCCGACCGGAGAGCACGGGCCACCACCCACTTTATTCGCGGTCCTCTGAGTCAGGAGGCCGACCGGAGAGCACGGGCCACCACCCACTTTATTCGCGGTCCTGTCAGGAGGCCGACCGGAGAGCACGGGCCACCACCCACTTTATTCGCGGTCCTCTGAGTCAGGAGGCCGACCGGAGAGCACGGACCACCACCCACCTTATCCGCGGTCCTCTGAGTCAGGAGGCCGACCGGAGAGCACGGACCACCACCCACCTTGTCTGCAGTGCGCTGCGTCTCCGAGCCGAACCCGTCCTTGAGCTGTCGCCAGCAGGCCACGTGGTACTCCAGCCGACATCGGGCCTCATCATCACACTCCACCTTCATGAAGCCAGCGAAGTCGACATCACTGCCGGCCACAGTCAAATCTCTGAACGATCACGGAAAAATTCTGAACTCCAAGTCCTGCGCATGTCGCACCGGTACGCAGGTGCGCCCCAGCCGTTAAGGCACCAGGCTTCACATTTGGTATTCCTGAATTTCCCTGGATGCATAGCGCCAGAGTAGCCTGAATTAAATTGACGCCAATAACGCACCGCAAAGACACAACCATTAGGACACAGTGTCCCCCCCCCCCCCCGGGCCACGAATCGGACGAGTCGTGTCGGTACGGCAGCGGCAAACACATTAGGACATGGTGCGGGGGCGGGGGGAGGGGCGAATAAGATGAGTCGTGTCGGTACTGCAGCGGCAAACACATTAGGACATGGTGCGGGGGGGAGGGGCGAATGAGACGAGTCGTGTCGGTACTGCAGCGGCGGGTACACTGAACTCTGGCCGGACGCACGTTGAGACAACACTGTTGCGATAACGTGCAAACATTTAATAAGGTGGCCAATACCCAGCGTACTGACTTCCCTACGGGACTCGCAAAGCCTTGATGGCACAAGAGATCACCTCAGGATACTGCAGGCCATACAGGGAACTGCACTGTAGTGAGGAACTAAGGAACTGTAGGGGATGCAGCGTGGTTTGTCTCCGTACGGTTCAGTGCATCAGTCTCGTTAATCGTAAGAGGCTGCAAGCTTATTGCAAATTCGGATAGGTCTATGTCGCAGCATACATAGCTCATCCAGCGCTCACCCGAAGCCCCCGGGCTCGCGTGCTCACCGCTCCGCCGACGGAGACGGGTGGCACCAGCCCCCCCCCCCCCCCACCCCCTGCGCTGACCTGTAGTAGATGGCGCGGCGCATGTGCTGCTGTCGTTCGTGGGCGTTGTTAACGTCCGGCACGAGGATGCGGTTCAGGCAGTGCTGCAGGCGGCAGACGCCGTCCGGCGGTGGCGGGTACTGACAATGACGCAGCAGCTCGCTCAGGTCTGCCCGCAGGGCGCCGCTCCACGCCCGCTCTGTCGCCGGGATGAGCTCGGACGTGCCCGGGAACACGTGCGTCTCGCCGCGCGCGCCGCGCTCCAGCAGCCCGGCGCCCTTGCGCAGCACGTCCGCCGCCGGCTCAAACCTGCCGACGTAACACCGGCGCGCCACACCGGCGCGTCACACCGGCGGCCGCGCGCCGACGGCGCCCCTCCCCCACCGACTGTCACGTGGCCAGGTACCCCGGCACCGACCGTCACACGGCCAGGCATCTCATGAAAACCTTCACGCAGCCAGACACTCCATGATTAACAGCCACGTAGCCAGACGCCCCAACACCGACAGTCACGTGGCCACACACTCCATCAAAAGCCACGTGGCCAGACATCCCACCACCGACAGTCACGTGGCCAGACAACCCACCACCGACAGTCACGTGGCCAGACACCCCACCACCGACAGTCACACGTGGCCAGGCATATAACTACCGAGAGTCACGAAGCCGGGTATCCAGGGCCACGAAACCGGGCATTCCATCCCTAAGAGCCCCGAAGCCGGGCATTTCATCCCTGAGAACCCCGAAGCCGGGCGTCCCATCCCTGAGAGCCACGGAGGCGAGCATTTCATCCCTGAGAGCCACGGAGGCGGGCATCCCATCCCTGAGAGCCACGGAGGCGGGCATCCCATCCCTGAGAGTTACGGAGGCGGGCATTTCATCCCTGAGAGCCACGGAGGCGGGCATCCCATCCCTGAGAGCCACGGAGTCGGGCATCCCATCCCTGAGAGCTACGGAGGCGGGCATTTCATCCGAGAGCTACGAAGGCGGGCACCCCATCCCTGAGAGCCACGAAGGCGGGCACCCCATCCCTGAGAGCCACGGAGGCGGGCATCCCATCCCTGAGAGCTACGGAGACGGGCATTTCATCCCTGAGAGCCACGGAGGCGGGCACCCCATCCCTGAGAGCCACGGAGGCGGGCATCCCATCCCTGAGAGCTACGGAGACGGGCATTTCATCCCTGCGAGCTACGGAGGCGGGCATCCCATCCCTGAGAGCCACGCAGTCGGGCATCCCATCACTGACACGCCAAAGCTGAGCCCACCCCGTATCCTCCTGCCATTCCGTCCTGCACTGTACCAGTTGAGCCTGAGGTAGACCTTGCCCAGCAGGTAGAAGGCGGCCGGCATGGGTTTGTCTGCCTTTTCGATGAGCGTGAGCAGCTGCTCCTCGGCCGAGACGAGCGCGTCCAGCGTTGACACTTCGTGGCACGCCATGGCGTAGCAGTACCTGTCGGCCACGGCGGCCGGTCACTGACCGGACATAGCACCAGCCGTAGCGGTACCTGTCCGCCACGGCGGCCGGTCACTAACCAGACATAGCACCAGCCGTAGCGGTACCTGTCCGCCACGGCGGCCGGTCACTGATCAGACAGCATCAGCCGTACCGGTACCCGTCCGCCACGGCGGCCGGTCACTGACCAGACATAGCACCAGCCGTAGCGGTACCTGTCGGCCACGGCGGCCGGTCACTGACCAGACATAGCACTAGCCGTAGCGGTACCTGTCCGCCACGGCGGCCGGTCACTGGCCGGCAGCGGCCGACATAGCACCAGCTGCAAACTCGGCTCAGAAGACGCGCGGGTTGGCCGGCCGCATGCCTCCAGGCAGAGACGGCGTCGGTCAGCGCGCGGCCCGGCGGAACGCTGACGACCCAGGCCGGGTCGGGCCCCACCTGAGCGAGATGAGCTCTGCCACGGTGGGCGCCACTTTCTGGTTGTGCTTGTCGACCAGCTGCAACGCACGCCGGTACTCATCCAAGGCCTGCCGAGCGGCGCCATCACGCAGGTGGTGTGATCCGCGCCGCACTGTAGCGCACAGCTCCTGACGGCGGGGCACGGCGGTCAGGGCGAACGCGGCCTGTCCATGGCCCCGGACACCAGTCAGCTTCGCAGCGGCCATGTTTGTCAACGGAAGGAAATTTCGGGACAACACACAGCAAGGCATGTGGGGAAAACAGGGCTGTGCATGCACAATTATAACTCACGAGCACGTGAGTTGCACCCCATTGCACCTGCAAATTGATTATTGCAAATGAAAGCCCTATTCGCCCCCACATCAGCCGCCGTACCGAGCGGGCCGACAGTTGTACTCCGGCCCAGCTACGCCGGGCTGACGTCATGACTGTTGATCCGAGCGGCGCCATCGTCAGTGATGACTCATAGGGCGTAAGGACTGCAGGTCCCAGCGTGTCCGTGTCCGGGATGCAGCTCGCCAACACGATGTTTCGTGTTCAGGGGTGCGTCGAGACCATTCTGCGCCCGCTCGAAAATACGGCTTTTCGTAGCGGTAGGGAATCGCTTCGTCAGTCAACTATTATGAAGCAGCTCCGTCGGTGGATGTAATGTGGTTCCGTTATAAATAATGATAGTCGGCATGTGCTCGAAATGCGAGAACATTTGCAATTTCAGTTCCTTGATCTTCAGCCTTCAGCCAACGAAGGGACTTTGTGGGAACATTTGCCACACTCAACACAGCAGCCCTGGGTACAGCGTTGGCTGCCTCACACTCAACGGCCCAGCCCCGCAGCAGAAGTGGTAGCTATTGGGGCTTCAGGGCGCCTCGCTCAGAATCCGATTGATAAGTCCAATCCTGACGAAGCACTGAACAGCTGTTTCCTTTCGTTGCATTCGCCCCGTGTATGCAAACGTAACGTGGCGATGCAAAGACTCGCTGGTGGCATGCCCAAGCTACTTCACCTGCCACACGCATGTACTAGTGGCATGCCCGAGCTACTTCACCTGCCACACGCATATACTGGTGGCATGCCCAAGCTACTTCACCTGCCACACGCATATACTGGTGGCATGCCCAAGCTACTTCACCTGCCACACGCATATAATGGTGGCATGCCCAAGCTACTTCACCTGCCACACGCATATACTGGTGGCATGCCCAAGCTACTTCACCTGCCACACGCATATACTGGTGGCATGCCCAAGCTACTTCACCTGTCACACGCATATACTGGTGGCATGCCCGAGCTACTTCACCTGTCACACGCATATACTGGTGGCATGCCCAAGCTACTTCACCTGTCACACGCATATACTGGTGGCATGCCTGGGCTACTTCACCTGTCACACGCACATACCCAGTTCCAAAAGCTCCAAATGCTAGCTAGTTGCTAGCGTCTACCCAAAATAATGTAGCCTGAGCCGGCTTTCCGCGCAACGCAAGGCCCCCGAAAGTTTGCATACCGCTCGTCACCACAGACTGCGATGCAAGCCCTGCTACAGGTCGACACAGCTACAGACTGCGATGTAAGCCCTGCTACAGGTCGACACAGCTATCTCCAACCACGCTGCAACGGGCCCACACACGCGCACGTGCACGCACACACGCACGCACGCGTACACGCATGCACGCACGCACGCACGCACACAAACCCTGTCCGTATGCTGACAGAGCGGCGGCGAGAGATCGCTCTCGGATTCGCGCCGGGTCGGCCGGCGCATGCTCACCTGGCGCGGGCAGTCCGGGCGTTCTGCAGCGGCGGCGGCGCCAGCGGCGGCCGTCTGTTTGCCCCCAACGCTGGCTGAGGTCGCGGCCAGGATGCCGTCCCACAGCCTGGAGGCCAGACCGGACATGAGCTGCGGCTGACGACACGGCGCGCACTACGCCCATCCGGCCCAGCGCCGCGCGGCGCGGCACGGCGTGGCCGGGAGGGGACGGGGACGGGGACGGGGGCGGCCGGGGGATCCGCCCGTCGGCCGACACAGAGGGCTGTCCAGCGCCGACGCCACCGAGGTCCGACAGGCCGGCCACGGCCATGTCGGCGGCAACAGGCCGCCAACGCCACTGCAGAGCGCGATACATCGTGTCATGTTGCTGATCGCCACGCGCCGCGCCGTGGCATTCACTGGCAGGCGGGCCTGTGTCCGCCGGCCAACAATGGACGCCCGAGGCTTCTCCGGTGTCACAACAGCTCCACGCCGGGCCTCAACACGTACCCGGCTCAATACCACACGGGGATGTGACCGCCGGCCAACAATGGACGCCCGAGGCTTCTCTGGCGTCACAACAGCTCCACGCCGGGCCTCAACAAGTACCCGGCTCAGTACCACACGGGGATGTGGTGCGCCCATCTTTGTGATCAGTTGGGCCCAATTTTCAAATAACATGAGCAGTAACATCTGTGTTCTTGATCCAAACCGGTTTATATGCACCATGGTGCGATGCTGTCATTTCGCACGTCACCACGAATTGAGTAAAAGCAATTTATACTTGTAGCATAAAAATGTCATACAATTCACGCGTAACTACACCAAAACAACACATGTTGATTAAGGAATCAACTAAGTGTTTTTCATCACACTCGCAGGCAACTTTGAAACAGGACCACAGAGGGCTTTTCGATACAAAAATGAATCTTGGTCTTTGAAAATCCAAGGCTCTAGGAGGCTCCTGGGGAAATTTCAAGGTCCTTGTTCCCACTATTTACTCTGCCAAAATGCCAAGCAATATGCTGGATCGCACTCAATTTCTTCACCAACTTCAAAATGAGCCCGTGGTGCAGAGATAACAGACCAAGAGGACGCCACGGATTCTCCGGCTACTGAGATTCCAGCCCTATTCAGGGCACATTCAAAACATGTCTGTCATCCATTCAGCGGCCACAGAGCCACTTATTCCGCCGACGTCATTAGGTCCTCTCCCCTCGAATCAGAAGACGTCGTCTACGCACCTCGTGGTACAGCTCTATAACCAACGTTACGGACGACCAATGACATCACGGCACCACGGGACTCAGCGGTAAAATCGCCGGATGACCATACCTAGTACGTAGGGCCGTGGTCAAGAAACGACACTCTGGTGGTGATCTGACTTCGTCCTCAAACGAGAGGGGCACAGCAGGCATAACGTGTATTTCTACGGCGAGCGACCGCCGACAAGCTTACAAGCCCCACGCGCATCTTCGCCAGCCGGGCGGCCCTGTCCTCCTCCCCTTCAGACCTCAGCTGGGGGTGGTCCGGCCACTACACCCCAGCCGGCAGCGGCGAGTGACGCGGCATTGGTGCATCTACACGTATTGCACTATACTACCGACAAACCGTCCTTTTCGGTGCCGTACGGTCAACAGCCTACACGGTCCGCCAGTCACGAACCCCTGGCAGCGGCTGCAGGACGACAGAGAATGCTATGACAGCCGCGCAGTTCGGAGAGGGCGGCGGCACTCACCCTTCCTGCTTGCTGCTGGTGCTGGCAGTGGTACCGGTGGCGGTGACGGCAGTGTTGGTGGTGGCATCGGGCCCGGGCTTGGCAGCGGGCCCGGACTTAACGGTGGGCCCGGGCTTGGCAGCGGGCCCGGACTTAACGGTGGGCCCGGGCTTGGCGGTGGGCTCGGGCTTGGCGGCGGGCCCGGGCTTGGCGGCGGGCCCGGGCTTGGCGGTGGGCCCGGGCTTGGCGGTGGGCTCGGGCTTGGCGGCGGGCCCAAGCCTTGCGACACGCTTGGGCGAGTCGCCAGCACTCTCGGGCTGAAGCAGCGGCGGCGGCGGCGGCTGGAGCGACAGGGAACGTCACTAACAGCGGCAGCGACCGGCCCAGACAAAGATAGGTCAAGCGCCGTCTGCCGACTTTCTATGCATTGTGAGCAGGGGATCTTGGATTGAAGATAAAATGCCAGGACTCGTACAAACGTTCAACATCGAGTCAATTAAAAAACCTGAATACAGGCTATTAACACTCCTACATGCTACCACGCGCATTCAACGGCTGCTCAAGATATGCCGAGCCCCCACCACATGCACACCTTGACCTTCTTCTTGGCCTTCTGCTCCTCCAGCAGCACGTCTTTCAGCTTCTTGAGGTCATCGTTCTCGACGCAGTTTTTGATGCCCTTGTTGATAAGCGCCAAGGCGTCCTCCGGACGGCCCAGGTTCTTGGCCGCCATGGCCGCCCGGTAGTACCCCTGTCAGCCGCCGGTCCGGGCGGCGCCGGTCAGACAGGCCGCACCGAGTGCCGCCCTCCCCTACACAGCCGAAGGCCAGGCCAGGGCCACGTCGCTTCTGACAGCACCCAGCGGCAGGGCACCATTGCCCACTTCACATGGTCCTCATGTTGCAGCTCTACTTTAACGCATGAAAAACATCATAAAATGCAACCAGAGCCAACGACATGACACACCTATAGTAACACGGCACCGGTGACTGGTCCGGCCTGTCAAGTAATCCAGTCCCCCAATGATATGAAGCGACGGTCTGCCTCACCTTAATATACACAACCGCTGACACAGAGGCGGACGTGCAACAGAGGCGAGCATACCTTAAACCAGTCGGGTTTCTGTTGGATCGCCAGGCGGGCATACTTCTCGCACTCCTTGTAATTGCGCAGTTTGAGGTGTACATGGGCCAAGTTTCCATAAATGGTGTAGAGACTAGAGTCAGAGCCGTCCTCCCGTGCTGCCTGGAGAGCTGCAGGCGATTCAGAATGGTCGGAAGTGAGCACCACAGCAAGTCTAGGAATCTCCTAACCTCCACGCGACTTCAGATCCACGCCCGCCCTTCACATGTTACTGCGCCGAGACAGCTGACAACGAACAAGCACATACACACATAGCTTCCATTGCCTTGCGTATCCAACATCCTAGTGCCGCCAACGTCGACTGCAGCCGTGTGACATTTGCAGGAAACCAAGTGTCTGCTCTGTCCCGGACATCGCTACACGACGAGGCAGAGCAATGAAGGAATTTCATAATACAATACACAAGACTGCCGGAAATATAAATCGATGACACTTATCATACAAGGTGCAAACGGAGAGGCAGATGCACACAAATCTCAATGACAGATAACCGCTGGATTCAGCGAATGGTAGATCTGTCTTCAATTTGTACCATTCAGGTTCTGCGTAGAGCGCGTCTACACAGACGAAATATTAGCTCGCCCGATGATACATCAATGGCCTAGCCGACTGGCAGTTCGTGCTCGAAACCAACCAGAATGGCGTCGGATCGACAAAAAAAAAACAACAACAAAACGTCAGAGACAAAGGCAATAGATACAGATCATGTGAACCATTGCCAGCGAGCGGTTTATTTTGATTTGGGTAAGCGGATCCTAACCTGATTCGGACAAGGCCTATAAGCAGGGCTGGATATCCCTCTCGGAAAGTATAGCAGCGTGGGGGGGTGGAGGTGGGATGCAGGGGCAACGGGTCACTGGGACGCAGTTCACTCACAGGGTAAAAGGACCCGCTCCCCCAACAAAATTTACCACTTCATTTTCAGAGGCCCATTGGTCTCGACTTTTCCAAACAAATGGGGCTGACTTTTCCAAACAAATGGAGCTCTTCGTGAAAAACTAGTACTCAGACCCGACCCAGGGGCTGCTAGAACCCTGTTACAATGTTCGACGAGCCCAATGTGTACATTTTGGTTTGAGCTTAAAGGCAGTGTTCCACATTTTAAGATAATAAAACAAACATCAGATATGAAGAAATAAGCTCACTTATAACCATTAGTATACTTTTAAATGAAACGACTGCTCTAGACAGCACAGCTTCTCTTCTTAATAAGCATGCTGGTCAACACGTCATTGTTTGATTGGGTCATGGAACGTCTGTGTGACAGTGCTCACTTGCAGTTCTGGTCAACACGTCATTGTTTGATTGGGTCATGGAATGTCTCTGTGACAGCGCCCACTTGCAGTTCTGCAATCCAAGTAGCAGTATTAACAATATTGATGTTCATTTTGTAAAATAGATGACGCTATTTTGAAAAAAACATCACCCAGACACGGGGTCAGTTGAAATCTTCCCACAATTTTTGATGAGCTGAAGGTGTACACCATTTTGGCGTAAACGCAATGTTCCGCATTTGAAGATGGTGAACCAAGCATCAGATAGGATGAAATAAGCTCACTCATAACTGCTGGTACACTTTTAAGTGGAACAGACTGCATTAAATAACACAATTTCTCTATTTGATAAATATGCTCTGCATTACGTCATTGTTTGATCGGACCATAGACTGGGACACCGTGCCTTGCGCAACGTTGATTGAGAGCGAATTGACGGTAGTTGCACCTGCAAACCGTGTCACATTCGCCAAGTATGAACAAATGACAATAATATTTTTCTTAGCCTTGATCGCCACACGGTCAATGAAATGGTGGGAATTGAATGGCATTATTATGGCGTTGGGATGCCCAGGTGTGTCACTGGGGATTTACGACGCACTCAGCTGCTGAGGCTTTATGGCGTCGCCTGCCTCCCACCCTGGCAGGAAGGGCGGGCACCGCAGGGAATCGAACCCCGTACCTCCGGTTTCCCAGACGCGAAATGGTTGACGCGGACGCGTTAACCACTGCACTACCCGGGGTGCCGGTAGTGTAGTCGGAGCGCTTCACCGGAGCGGGCTGCTGGGTACAACTCGCCTTAGTCAGTCCTACGCCAGGACGTAGCCCAGATCAACGCGTCAGCTCCCTTGTCACCCCAGAACGTCCTCGCCGACCACACACTCGCCAGGCTTGGGCTCAATGCACGGCCTGACCGACCAAAAGCAACAATTTTGGGCAGCTGTCCATAGTTGTGAGCCAATCCCCTCTGGCTGCACCTGCCAAAGTTCGCCACCTCCTTCACCAATGTGAACGGACAGTACCACATCCAGTCCATTTTGGATGACGTTGAGGTGGAAGGAGAGATCCTCGTCCTCGTCCGCTGGTGGAAGGCCAGCTTGGATGACGGGACCTGGGAGCCGTTACACAAGCTCCCATACGGTTTCGTTGTCGACTGCCCCCAACGGAGGAAGATGGGCCTCGATTCACCCAACCGCTGGGGCCTTCGAGGAAAACCCGGACCGACGTGCTAGAAACCAAGCACATGTCGAACTGTGGTGGCGGTGCCTCCACAACAGCCTGCGCCCCTGCCAGAAGTCTGCGCCGGGTGTCGTAAGCATTTCCCTACGAACGCAGTACTGAAGGATCCAGACGAGACACGCGAGGCTCTCAAACATCAGAGACAGCCCCGCCAAGCTCTCCTCTCGCTTGGAGGAGACATCACAATCTGCCTCCGCGCCAGGCCAGGGCCCCAGTCTATTGGCCCCACCCATAGACCAGTCTACCGCCGGCGCCATAGGCCCATTGGTCAGCTGCGGCCTGCGCAGGGCCAAAAGTAGATACAAAATGCACAGAGAGAAGCCGTGCGCCAAAAAGCTTTTTAAAGATAACGAAAATGATAACATGCACTGTAGTTAGAAATGTCGCTGTAATAGACGCGTGATGTACTACTCATCATGTTTTGGAATATATTGTGAGCATGTTTTATTGCATACCAATGTACTTTGTCCTCATGGTGTGATCTCCTGTATGTTGCATATATATTTTGGACGTCCACCTTGACCAATGAAAACTAATAGAATTTTAAACATGCATTACAAATTTCGTCGAAAGGACCTCGAGCTGCGATCTACCTGCCTTTTTCACGGCGGTAAGATCTCTAGAATCATGAACACATATATATGTCTTCAGACATATAACCCAAGAGCCTCCAGGGGTCTCCTGGACAAGAAAGACACAGGGAGGCATGTAGCCCTCCTAGGAAACAGATCACTCCCCACCAGCCATCTGTTCCGTCGGAACATAAACTAAACACACCACCCCTGATGTAATTCGACACTTCGTTTGAGACGTCACCCCCAGCTCCTCACTAGCCATGTGCTGCATTAGCTGGTTGTCGGGTCGTAAAGTTATCTCACACTCTGTGATTTGTTTAGTCGACCATCATACCATGTTGTACACACTTCTCATTGGTTAATTATTGCATAATTTCCATCATATGTGACTAAGACTAGTTTCCTACTGTTTGGTATCAGAAAGGTGAGCAGATTGCTCAGCTCTAAGATAATTGCATGCATACAAAGCAGAAGTGTGAGATTTTGCATGGTAAATGATTCAACAGAAAGTCAGGGTACACAGAGGGTATCCACAACTCAAAACAATTACCCTCTCCCTTCATACTAGGCGACAAAGGTTATCACGTCCATGCCAATTTGGTTTTGAATCATGCACAGGACCCGAGATGCACTTCACCGACCCTAAACTGAACAGGAATTTTGTCTGACCTTGAAATTCCCAAGGGTGGGTTCCATCCAAAGCCCATCCAAGGGGCCAGGTGGTGGATATAGTGGGAAACGTGACCCGGACTACCTCAGTACAGCCAAGTAAGCACCCAAAGTTCATCTAAAGAGTCAGTCAAGTAATCCGGTTCCGCTCTGGCTCAACCAGGTGCATTCTTTGTCACTCCCACAAAAATGACCCTTGCACCAGATCACTTCACCAGGGGTTGATAACAGCTGACAAAAAGTCATGATTCAACTCCTGCCATTGGTTTTCTTATAGGCATCTCAACACCAAGAATGGCAGCTCATGAGGGTCTGAGCAGCTGGACACAGCTCATGGGAGTCATCTATGCCCCCCCCAGGTTACCGCCTGGTGTACCATCAGTGCCAGACAGATCACTGGATCCTTCTGGTTCACAATGATGGCCCCACCACCACCTCCTTGAATGTCTCCCAGGAGCAATGTACAAGGAGTTTGAACATGTGCTGAATGCCAGACAGCAAACACAACCATCACCTGAACCATGCCTGGTTCTGACAGAATGGCACCATCCTACACATGCTGAACATGACCCTGTGCAGGAATGGGGGATATTTCAGAGCCTCATATCATCAATTGGAAGACATCACACCCCTGACCTGCATACTCATGAGATCGGACCCCTCTGAGGCCTTTATTTGTGGGACTTCCTAAAAATCTGAGTACATCAGACCATTTTTTTAAAAAATGTGTAGCTTAACAAGGCCATCATATGTCGGACAAATCTCTTGACAGACATGCTGTAAGGTCATAAGGAAAGTCAAGATGCACACTTTCAAGAGCTACACTTTCAGTGAAGTGGCACTCATTTAGTACACATCCTGTAAACTTTGCACAACTTCCTTGTCACCTATTTTAATAGCACACAATAGGAAAACCATACAATGCTTGGAGCATCATGTGTCAAATGCTGGCCAAAACACTCATGTTCTCTCCCTTTGATGGTATTATAAACTTTACTCTGTGAGTGCTTCAGAAGCATCAAAATTGTGGATTTTTGGGGAAATACCCACTGCAACAAAGGAAATGCACACATCCCTTTTTTACCACAACTGCCATTTTTGTACAAACTGGTGGGCTTACCTTTATCATACATATCTTTTGCCTCTGCATATTGCAGTTCCCCACAGAGTATGTTGCCCTTTTCCTTCCAGTCATCTGCTCGACCAGCCATGCCTTACTGAAAAAGTAGGCAACTACATAAAACAATATCATATCCTTTCAGCCATTCAGTTGCTGAGCGATATGTGTGTCATGACAATGCCCTGTGCATGGGCATTACATGGTTGATGAGCTGGTGTCCTCACTACACAAGAGGAATGGAACATGTTTTATACAGGAACAGTGCAGTTTGACAACTCTACATTGAAATTGCATGTTCTTGGCTTTCACATCTCAATCATTCTGGTATGGTGCATTGATGGACCACCTTATTTTTGAACTCCAAAGTGCAGGAGCATAGCAATTTTCTCCATCATCACTTACCACCAATATAACATTCAAAGAACATCACAATAGGGCCATACCACCCTTAGCCTTAATGCACCACAAAGCAAATGTTCAAGGCAACACTGTTTTGGTGTTTAAGTTACACAGGTCTTACATCTTCCAAACACTCACCAAGCTTGATTAACTGCCTTATGTCAACACTAGAGTCTTCGAGGTATGCGGATTGCTAGTTAAAGAATCCTCCACTTAAGGGCCCATGCATCTAAACTCAATAGACTTCAATACAGTGGAAGCATACGTGTCCAATACAGAATATTCCATACATCATCCAATTAAGTCCGTACACTACCGTATACATGGAGAGGGTGATTGAGGGAATGTGAGGAAACTGTAACAAATGTGACAAGGGTATGTTGGTAATTTTTTTACTTGGGTACCTGTACGGCCGACGGAGGGAAGAGTTACGCTGGCTGCAGGGTTTCGAGTACCGTCGTGCTGGGGAAATGCTGTGAGGCATCAGCTGACATTGTGACGTCACTGAAAATGGTTTTGCGTCGATCGGGATCGGGGTTCTTTTGGGCCGACTGAAGGCCATGAGGCTTTTGCTATTGATATGATGTCCCTGGTATTCGGCTGAATATGTGACGTCACTGGTCGTGAGTTTTTAAGGCTCTTTTAGGCCCACTGAATGCCGTAAGGCATCAGCTGGGGATGTGTCGTCACTGGTATTCGATTAAACATCAGGCGCGACCGGCCTCGTCCCATCTTTACTTTTTGTACCTGTCTGATGCAAGCATTTGCGAGCCGCATAAGGGTTTGACCGAATCACCTTAATGTGTGACGTCACTAATCATCACTTTGTACGAGTACACTTAGGCCCCGCGGCCACGGCGTGTCATCGTCCGCGAAGTATCACGGGATGGCGTGACGTCACTGGTATTTGAATAAAAACTGGGCGCAACAGGCCGTGCTTCATTTTTACCTTTGTACCTGTCTACTGCGAGCATTGGCGTGCTGGATGAAAGCCGCCGAACCACCTGAGTGTGTTCCGTCACTGGTCATGAGTTTCACTGGTGCTTTTGGGCCATTTGAAGGACACAAGGTGTCAGCTAACGACGTCACTGCTATACGACTGATTGTAAAGCGTCAATGGTCGTGGGTTTTCACGGGCCGTTTAGGACCGACGAAATACCGTAAGGCATCAGCTTGCGATACAACGTCACTGGTACTCGGCTGAACATCAGGCAACAGGCCATGCTCCATCTATACCTTTCATACATATCCCCCGCAAGTATTGACGGATTTTTTGCGGCCAACTGAATACCATAAAGCATCAGCTAACGACGTGACGTCAGTGGCATTCGACTGTGTATGATGCCTCTGGTCATGAGATTTTACGGCCTCTTTTGGACCGACGAAAGGTCATACGGCATTAACTAACGATGTGACGTCACTGGTATTCGAATAAACTTCAGCCGCGACAGGCCATGTTTCACTTTTACGTTTGGTACCTGTCCATTGCAAGTATTGCCGTGCTGAAGGAAGGCTCTGCCGAATTACCTGAGTGTGCAACGTCACTGGCCATTAATTTGTATACTCTCTTGAACCCACTATAGGCCACAAGACATCACCTGAGGATATGATGTCACTGGGATTCGACTAGACATCATGCGCAACAGGCCATGCTCTATCTTTACTTTTCGTACCTGTCTACTGCAAGCATTCGAATGCTACACCGGGGCGATGCTGAATCCTCTCAGTGTGTGACGTCACTGGTCATGTGTTTATACCGGTTCACTTGGGCTGCCCTACGACCACAAAGCATCATGTCCCGTGGAGTATCACGGAAAGATATCACATCACTGGTATTCGGCTTAACATCAAGCGCAACAGGTCATGCTCCATCTTTGCCTTTAATACTTGTCTCTTGGAAGTATTGGCGTGCTGAATGAAGGCTCTGTCGAATCTCCTGAGTGTGTAGCGTCACTGGTCAAGAGCTTTTTACGGGCTCTTTTGTAACTCCTATGCGGTATAATACATCAGCTAACGATATGACGTCACTGGTGTTCGACTTAACATCAGGCGCAACAGGTCATGTTCCATCTTTGCCTTTCGTACCTATAGAAGTATTGGCAAGCTGAAGGATGGCTCTGCCGAATCACCTGAGTGTGCGACGTCTCGGTTTTTTACAAGTTATTTTTGGCTGAGTAAAAGCCATAAAGCATCAGCTAACGAAATGTCGCCACTGGTAGTCCACTGAGTGTGTGACATCACTGGCCATGAGTTTTTACGGGCCTTTTTGGACCGACTTTACGCCATTAGGCATCAGATAACAAAATGACGTCAATGGTATTCAAATAAGCACCAGATGTAATAAGCCATGTTTTGTCTGTATCTTTCGCACCTATCAACTTAGAGTTTTCGCGCGACACATAGAAGTTCTGCCGAATTACGTATGGCGTAACTATGGTGCGTATGGTGTAGCTAGTTATGAGGTTACGCGGGTTTACTCGGGCTGACTGAAGGACGTCAAACATCAGCTGACGATATGACGTCACTGGTATTCGACTAAACTCCAGGCGCGACAGGCTATGTTCCATCTTTACCTTTCGTACCTGTCTATTGCCAGCATTGGCGTGCTGAAGGAGGGCTCTGGAATCTCCTGGGTGTGTAACGTCGCATGGTCATGAGTTTTTTTCTGGCTCTTTGGAACCTCCAATAGGCTATAAGACATCAGCTTACAATATGACGTCACTGGTATTTGACTTAACCTCAGGCGCGACAGGCCATATTTCATCTTTACCTTTCGTACCTGGTTACTGCAAGTATTCGCGTGCTATATGAAGGCTTTGCCGATTCACCTGAGTATGTGACGTCACTGATTATGAGTTAGTAGGTCACTTGGCCACCCTAGGCTACAAGGCATGATATCCCGGAAGCATCACCGAATAATATGACGTCACCGGCATGACACCAAATATGAGGCGCAACAGGCCATAGACTATATTTACCTTTCGTACCTGTCTACTGCAGCATTCGCAAGCTATATCAAGGCGATGCCGAATCATCTTAGTGTGTGATGTCACTGGTCATGAGTTTGTGCGGATTCTCTTGGGCCGCCCAATGCCACACAACATGATATCCCGTGAAGCATCACGGGATGATATGACGTCACTGGTATACGACTTCACATCAAGCGCAACAGGCCATGTTCCATCTTTACTTTTCGTACCTGTCTATTATAAATATTGGCGTGCTGAATGAAGGCTCTGTCGAGTCTCCTGAGTGTGAAACGTCACTGCTCAAGAGTTTTTACGGGCTCATTTCAAGCTCCTATACGGCATAATGGATCAGCTGACGATATCACGTCACTGGTGTCCGACTTAACATCAGGCATAACAGGCCATGTTCTGTCTTTACCTTTCGTCCCTGTCTATAACAAGTATTGACGTGCTGAATGCAGGCTTTGTCGAGTCTCCTGAGTGTGGGTGAATACTCAGGTGAATCGGCATAGCGTTCATATTGCACGTGAATGCTTGCAGTAACCAGGTACGAAAAGTAAAGATGGAACATGGCCTGTTGCGCCTGAGGTTAAATAAAAAGCCAGTGACGTCACATCGTCAGATGATGCTTGATGTCCTTCAATCAGCCCGGGTAAACCCGTGTAAACTCATGACCAGTTGCATCACACGCTCAGGTGATTGGGCAGAGCCATTATGTGGCGCGCGAATACTTGCAGTAGATAGGAACGAACGGTAAAGATGAAACATGGCTTACTGCACCTGATTGTTAATTGAATACCAGTGACGTCACATCGCTATCTGATGCCTAATGGCCTTAGGTCGGCCCAAAAAGGCCCGCAAAAACTCATGACCAGTGACGTCACACATTCAGTGGATTACCAGTGACGACATACCATTGGCTGATGCCTTTTGGCTTTCACTCAGCCAAAACTAGCCCGTAAAAACTCATGACCACACACTCAGGTGATCCGGCAGAGCCATCATTCAGCTCGTCTATTGTTTAACAGACGCGAAAGGCAACGATGGAACATGACCTGTTGTGCCTAACGTTAAATCGAACACCAGTGACGTCATATCGTCAGCTGATGCATCATACAATATAGGGGATTGAAAAAGCCCATAAAAACTCTTAACCAGTGACGTTACACACTCAGGAGATTCAACAGTCTTCATTCAGCACGCCAATGCTTGTAAAAGACGGGTACGAAAGGTAAAAATGTGGCATGGAACGTTGCATCATTCCGCGATGCCTCACGGGATATGATGCTTTGTCACATTGGGCGGCCCAAGTGCACCCGTATAAACTCATGACCGGTGACGTCACACACTCAGATGCTCATCATCGCCTTGATACAGCACGCAAATGCTTGCAGTAGACAGGTACGAAAGATAAAGATAGAACATGGCCTGTTATGCATGTCTAGCCAAAAACCAGTGACGTCATATAGTCAGCTGATGTGGTATGGCCTATAGTGGGTTCAAAACAGTCTATGGAAATTCATGGTCAGTGACGTTACACACTGAGGTAATTCGGCAGAGCCTTACTTCAGCATGCCAATCCTTGCAATGGACAGGTACCAAAGGTAAAGGTGGAGCATGGCCTGTCGCGCATGAACTTTAATCAACCACCAGTGACGTCACATCGTCAGTTCATGCCGTATGACCTTCTGTCTGCCAAAAAGAGGCCGTCCAATCTCATGACCAGTGGCATCACACACAGTCGCATGCCAATGACGTCACATCGTTAGCTTATGCTTTATGGCCTTTAGTTGGCACCCAAAAATCCATAAAAACTCATGGCCAGTGACGTCACACATACACAGGTCATTCGGCAGAGCCTCCCTCCAGCACGCCAATACTTGCAGCAGACAGGTACGACAGGTATAGATGAAGCATGGCCTGCTGCCTGATGTTCAGCGAAATATCCGTGACGTCATATCGTCAGCCGATGCCTCACGGCATTCAGCCGGTCCTAAAGAGCCCGTGAAAACCCACGACCATTGACGTCACACTATCAGTCGTATAGCAGTGACGTCCTTAGCTGATACCATGTGGTCTTCAGTGGGCCCAAAAACGCCGGTGAAACTCATGACCAGTGACGTTACACACTCAGGCGATTTGGTAGCTTTCATTTAGCACGCCAATGCTTGCAGTATACAGGTACAAAGGTAAAAATGAAGCATGGCCTGCTGCGACCAATATTTAGTCGAACATCAGTCACGTCACGCCATCCGATGATACTTCACGGAACATGACATACCGCGTCCGTGGGGCCTACGTGCACTCGTATCAAGTGATAATTAGTGACATCACACATTCAGGTGATTCGGTCAAACCTTTATTCGGCACAAAAATGCTTGCAACAGACAGGTACGAAAGATAAAGATGGAATGAGGCCTGTTGAGCCTGATGTTTAATCGAGTACCAGTGGCGGCATATCGTCAGGTG